CCGGAGGAGCTGCGAGTGACCGTCCAGATCACTTGGAGCCGCGAGCCGATAGCGAAACTCGAGCGGGTGAAGGGTGGGCTTGCACGTTGGACCACGATAACTCGGCGGTCTACCTGCACAATCGGTGGTGAGTATCAGCGCCAGCGAGCAGAGTCTCGACGCCACAAACGGCTTGCGTTCACGCAAAAGGTATCTGACCTGTTAAGATGCCGCACATTCGTCTAGAAGCAGGGGTGTGATAACGTTATAGCTGCAGGGTGGGACCGAGCCACGTAATAAGCTGGGGCAGCGGTTCCGGCATGTCCGGACATGGGTTTGGAGTTGTAGGACCGCCGGGTGGGGGTCCATTCAGCGAGAGCCCCGGCACTCTGTCGGGTACAGTGGTCCTGGACATTGCTCTTCTGATCAACAGTCGTTCCGTAGGTCGCAATCCGAGTACCGAATGTGCACAAGGCAGAGCACTCACCGCGGAGTCCTGGCCGAGGGCCTGACGACGCGCACCTGCCTGATCAGCAGCGCGCTGTTGCACAAACGGCGGGCGGGTGCCTCGGCCTGGCCACTTGAAACTTGCGCAGCGCACGAGTGTTGGTGGCGGCAGGCAGAGAGCCTCGTGGCGCGGCAGGTGGGAGAGCATCCGCACCGGATTTCGCCTAATGAAATGATGGGGCCCGTCGCGGAAGGCCGGGGGGCGTCATCCCCCCGTCGTCCTGCCAGTCCCTGAACGGGTGGGTGGTCAGAACGTCGACGTGCGACGGGCAGGTTCTTCTAGCAAGTCGACCACTTGATCCCGTAGCGCGTACTTCAAATGCCACTCGTACCTACGTGTGTGCCCTGTTGAATTTGAAAGGCACGCTCGCGAGGCGACGAGGGCGCGCCTGAGGCGCGAGGCCGGCCGGTACCGAGCCATGTGGCCCTGGGGCCTGGCCACTGGCAATCTCCTTCCTCCCCCCTCCCCCTCCCTCTCATCAGGCGGCCGGTGAATCAGACAACGACGACGACCTGCGACGAGGGGCAAGAGGTACCACAGGCGGGCGGAACGGGATCTGGACGATGCATCGACGGCGGCCATCTGTGGATGTGAGACCTTCAAACAGCACAGACTTCAAGGGGGGCCAGAGAGACGAAGGTGAGAAGGTTCCGCGGGCCTGCCACGGCCGCGAGCGCCCGCCGCGCGGCACGGAGATGGGACGGGCCTCGGGTCCGGTCGCAGCGGTGGGCGGGGCCGGCTGCAGCGGGGTGTTGGGAGACGGGCCCAGGGCGAGATCATCTGGAATCCTGCAGCGTCCTGCTCGGGGGACCTGCCAGGGAATACAAGTCCGGGCGTGCATGAAGTGGCGAGCCAGGACACCTTGAGGCTTGAACAGCTCAGTTCTCTCTCCGCGTGCCAGGGTCTGAGCGAGCTGCTCACGAGACCAGGTGTGTCGCGGAAATACGGAGCAGGCGGGCGAGAGTGTCGCAGCGTCGGTGGCCGCAAAAACCACCGGGATATGCGTCAGCGCCGTCGTCCGCAGCGGCGAGGCGTGGAGGCGGGGGGCCCGGTGGCCGCCGCGCTCAGCGCCCAGCGCCCGTCGCAGAGGTCGCATGGGCTGAAGTCTGAGATCTGAGGTGCATCACTGGGGTTGAGGACTTGGCGTTCAGTATGATCAGCGTGGCCACCCGCACAGCGTCGGCAGGACTGTCAATGAAACATGGTTGACTGCACCCGAACTCGGGTTGAATTTATCGCGCCTCGCGTTGTGCTAGGTCAGAGGTGGGGGATCAACACAGGATAATCGGGGACTCTCGGGGAGGTAACGTGCCCTACAGAATACTCGGGCTCGTGCGTACCGGTGGCGCGCGGCCAGGGCCCAGTGGATGGCAGAACTTGCGCAAGTCGCGACGTCAAGTCGCCGGTCGTACCTGCCGTCGGTGGAACGCGGCCGTGGGTTCGCGCTGGCTGCGGGCTGAACGTTGAACGCTCCAAACCTGATACCACGCAAAGCACTCCAAGACAACGCAAACGGAAACAGCAAAAAGACACGCACGGCCACACACATCCCGTGGCCGCCGGATCGGCGCAACTGCGCCCGCCGCGCGGACGCGCGCGGATTGGCCCCTCGGTGTCGCAGCGGGGCGGGCGGGCGCGGGGGTGATGGGCGGGACGGGCGCGGGCCTGCGCGTCCGGTTGGTTTTTTGCCCCTCTCCTCCTGTATCGTTTCGGTTCGCGGCGGGCGGGGCTGAGGATCAGATGGTGGCGCGCCCGCTCGAGCTGTGAACGCCGGCGTCGGCGCGGGCCTCCGAGGTGCCTAGCGCCGTCAGCCTCGCACTGTCAGGGCTGAGGCCAAGGGAGAGAGCAAGGGGCTGGGGGCTGCACGGGAGATATCGCCGTCGGGGAGGCGATGGCGACGGCGACGGGGCGCGCACGGCCTTATCCTCATCATCGGGTCCGGGTCCGGGTTTGGGTTCGGAGCGGCGGAACGGAGCATTTCCAGGCCGCGGGAGCGGGGCGTGCGATGGGGGCGGAGGGACAACAAGGTGCAGGAAAAATGGAGAGGAAAATGAAGGGTTGTGCGGATGCGCAGAGCACGGCCCTGGGGCCGGAGGCGCGATCGGGCGGTGGCACGCGGCGGGTGGTTTCAACTTTCCAACTTTCACTTGTGGGCGGCGGGGGGCGCGCGTGCGCGCCTGATCGGACGGAGCCATGTGCGCCGTCCGGGCTGGGCGGGGGAGGGGCGCGGTGCGCGATGTGTGTTTGAATCGTCGGTTTCAGCCGACACGGCGTCGGTCGCAAGCCCGAGGGCGCCGCGGAGGGTGGGGGGCCGCAAGGGGCGCAGCGCGAGCGGTGGGAGGGAAGACAAATATATTTTTGGACCTCCGCGACGGAAATCGACGCGAAGAACGCGAAAAGACTCGCGCCGCCGCTTGGAGGCGTTGGAAAGTTTCCGCGCGCCTGGTGGGCGACTGGGAGGTGACAGGCGCACGCGAGAAGCACAGAGCGGGGGTCAGAATCGCACGGTGTCGCCCTCTGCGCAGGGAGCACGTCGTGGATTCGCCAGCTGGCTGATCGGGGGCACTAGGACCCACTAGGTGCAGCCCGAGACCCGCGCTCGTCCGCCGTGTTGGTCCCAGCGCCGTTCGGGAGGCTCTGTTCCATGGAAGGGGACGGTGGAGCGCTGCTCGTCATGTCAGTCTTCGCGAAGGGCACGCTCGTGGGCTGTGAGAGAGGACCTGAAGGATGCACTGTGAAACCTGCGGGACTGCGGTGGCGGCGTGCAGGATCAGTGAACGCAGTGGGTGCTCGACGCACTCGGATTGGCGATTGCGCGATCCTCGGGGAGCACGACGGGCAGTGTGTCGTCACCGATGCGCGATGATGCGCCGTTGCGCCAAGTTTTCAGCAACAGATTTGCCAGAGCGAGGGTAGAGGGGGTGTAGAAGGGGCCATCGTGGGAGACTCGCGACAATGCGAAGGTTATGCGCTCGATGGCGAGGGCAACTTGTCCGAAGCAGCCGATGCGAGCCGTCGAGAGAGCGTCCGAAGGCAGGCGCAGGCTTCGTCGTCATGGTCAGTTCGCGAGTACGAAGCATTGGGCCTTCCGCTGTCTCTGCCGTCGCCTTGCTGTAGATATGCCAAAGTAAGCAGGCGCCCGTGAGGACAGCGAGTCCGGGCGGGACGGATCGCGATGGGGCAGAGCGAGGAGAGCAGTATCTGCACATCGGGGGCTGTCTTGCGCCATCTGGAAAGGGCTGGGCGCTGAGGAGCGGTGAGAAAGAAGAAGAAGGATTGCCACTTCCGTGAGAGCGTACGTATGGGACCTTCTTCTCAACTTCTGCACAGGCAGGCAGCAGCTGTTGGCCGGGGTGGCAGACGTCAGCCAGTGGGCATTTTCCCGCCACCGGGTGGAGGGCGCTCTGGATGACCGAACGCGGATGAGTCCCGTGTGCGCTCGCGGCGCAGCGCAGACCTGCAGGCTGCCGGGGAGAGAGGAGGAGGCGCCGGTGCGCAGCCGGCTGATGTGGTGTCGGCCGTGTCTGGGACTCATTTGTTTGACGGGCGCTCGCTGGGGGCGGGTGATGTGCGTGGCCAGCGCAGGGCGCGCGGTGCCGGTGAGGCGCGATGGGAGGGCGATGGAGGAGGAGAGCATGAGCGAGCGGCCGCAAAGTCCGGGGTCCGGGTCTGAGCACGGCCGGGGAGAGGCGCGCGGTGGCAGGTGTCCGTCGCCTGGGCGATGGAAGGCGGGCCGTGGAAGTCTGAGCAGAACGGAAAGCGCGGCCGCAGTGTTCGGTTCACCCGCGTCGCAGTCGTTCCGGAACGTGCGGCGGGATGGGGGGACGGTGCCGATCAGCGTGGCGACCCGGCGCCCCCAGCGTGTGTGCAGAACGCAGCTTGCGCGCGCGCACATTGGAAAGCACGCACGGATATTCGATACTCAGCAAGGGATGCGGGTGCCGAAGCCCGAGGCGCGCCCGTGCGCGCTGCTGAAACGGGGACGGTCGCGGACAGATGGCGGGCGAGCGGCACGAACGGGCGGAAGAGAGGACGCGGGGATGAGCGCGCGCAGCGAGGAGGGGAGCGCGGGGCGGGACGCAGCTGGCAGGCGGCGGGCTGGCAGGGTCCGAGAGAGGCGGAGGGCCGTGGGAGGGACGAGTGCGGGCCGGATATGGGCAGATTGCAGCCCGAAGGGGGAATGGACGCCTGGGCGCGCGGGAGCCAATGGGGGGCGAAATTAAAAAAGAGATGGAAGGGATCGCAGGCATCTGGCGGTGCGGAGATTGAAAGGGAGGCTGGTGATGGATTGAAGATCCGCCACGCGCCGATCGGGTGGACCCTGGCGCGGGCGGCTGGGGGCTGGCGGGCGGGCGCGCTCCGTGGACGCGCGCACCTGGCCGCCGCCTTCGTTGCGGTGCGAGGCCGGACCCGGGCGTCTGCCGGCGAGGACGCCCACTGCAGCCACCGACTCGCGCGCGACGATAATATTGATCAGCCACCTCGTCTCGCCTCCCCCGATCCGCTCTCGTCAATGCTCCTCCAACCTCTCCACCCCTCCGCCCGCGCACTCGCCTTCCCGCCCCAGCACGCCCCCCTCCTCTCCCGCGCGACCCCCCGCTCGCTCGCCACCGTGGACAGGTTCGCGCTCCCCCCCGCGCACGCCGACGACCCTCCCGTCCTGCCCCTGGAGCCCGCGCCCAACTTCAGCTATGTCCCCCGCTCCCAGCCACTCTCCCCCAGTCCCGACCCAATCTATCCCTCTGCCCTCCCAGAACACCTCTACGACGAGCCCCAGAATACTAATCACCCCGCTCCGGAATACGAGGTCGCCTCGCGCCAGCCCCCACCCTCCATACACACCAACGATCTCCTCTATTCCGCAGACCAGGGCAACTTCACTCCGTCCCCCACCTCCTCCCCCGCCGACGCCCAGTCCTCCGCGCGTCACTTCTCCTTCCCCCAACCCATGAGCGCGCCACACTCCCAGAACGCGTTCCCCTCCCGCTTCACCAATGACCCCTCCCCCTCCGCGTCCCGTTCGTGAACTCCACGCTCGACCGTCGCATGTCCGAGCCCATGCTCGGCGCCGTCCGCCAGTCTTTCGCCCACCCTCCCCCGGCCCCGCCACACGACGCGTTCTACTCGACCGCATCCTCTGCCAACGTGGTCCAGCCATCACCCATCTCTCCCCGTCCTTCCTCCTCCTTCTCGTCCTACGGCGCCCCCTACCCCGAACATCAGCGTGAGTCCTCCGGCGCGTCCCTCTCCGATCCCTACGGACACCCCTCGTCCGGCTGGACGGGCATGAAGCACTCGGAGCTTGAGCAGGACGCGACGCTCGCGAGCTCCCCGCTCTCCCCGCTCTATGACGGCAGCGTCGCGAGCGGATCCGACGCGTCTGTCACCGGCCTGCCGTCACCTCCCGCACACGCGCGCCCCTCGCCCGCGAAGCAACTCGCGTCCATCCCCGCGATGCGCCCCTCGCCAAACCTCCAGGCGCCGCTCCCTGGAGCGGGTGCGAGCGCAACCCCGCGCGGGGGCGGGCCGAACAGCAAGACGTACTCGTTCGTGTCGCTGGCCGGGAACGCGGTGAAGAAGCGGCCGCGCCGGCGGTACGATGAGATCGAGCGACTGTATCAGTGCAGGTGCGTGCCCCACGCCCGTTTGCGTAACCCGCCTTCCCCACATTCCCCCACGCGTTTGTCCACGCATCCTTCTTGTGCGACCGTCCAGGACGCACTCCCCCGCGATCAGTGCTTCCCCGCATTGTTCGTGTTGTGTCGGCTCCGTTTGATCTGAGTGATTGCTGGAATGTCGTGCTGACTGCTTCCCCGGCGCTCGACAGTTGGCCCAACTGCACCAAGGCGTACGGCACTCTCAACCACCTCAACGCCCACGTTACCATGCAGCGGCATGGCGCGAAGCGCAGCCCCAATGGTGTGTGCTTACGTCTTCGTTCTGCCGTTTCCCACCTTTTTTCTCATGCACGGCTTCGACTTCGGCAATATCTCCTCGTGTTGTGGCTATGTGCGCCTGCAGAGTTCAAGGACCTCCGGAAGAAATGGCGGCAGGAAAAGAAGGAGGCCGAAGAGGCCGAGCGCGAGCGCGAACGGGAGCAACACGCTCAGGCCCTGGCTATGCGCGAGATGCAGATGTCCCAGATGTCCGACTACGAGCAGGCACGCTTCGCGCCACGGCGAAGGGTGAGTATGGCGGAGCCGTACTCCGATCACCATCTGCCGTCCGGCCCTCAGTCTCTGCCAAACCATTCGTACATGCATAGCGCAATGCAAGGTCCGAACGCTCCTATGCAATCGTTCGCAGGTTCATACCTCCAGCAAGCAGGCATGGCCGTTGAAGGGCGCTACGGTCTCTCATCTCCGGTGGAGGAGTACCGCTACTCTCACCCGACGATGGAAGGCCTGCCGTCCCTCACCATCCCTCAGCACTCTCCCGAAGAGGAGCACTACTACCGCCAGACGCAACAGCCGACACCGCATGGCGAGCTTGGCTGGAGCCACCCGCACCCTTCCACACCACACAGTATGCGGTCCGCGCACGCCTACTATAACACCCCGGGCAGCATCATTCTCCCTCCTCCCCACACTCTCGGCGGCCTTTCGTCTTCCGCACCGACCCCGAGCCCGCTCTCCGCTGGGCCCTTCACACCTCTCGCCGCGAACCCAACTCCATCATCGCTTTCCGGCGCGGCTCCCGTCAGCCTGAGCATCTCCGGAGCGGTTGCTCCGGGGCATGACAGTGGGTCGGCCACCCCCGAGCTTGCCGCGCATGTCTCACTGGGGTCGAACAGGCTCCCTCCCGACTCCACCCTGCTCACCCCCCTCCCTGGATACGAGCCCGACATCGAACACCACGACGGCCGCGAGCGGGAGCGGGAGCGGGATCGCGACTTCGGACGTGAACGTGGGGACGATCGCTGGGGGTCCGAACGGGATCGCGAGCGGTACTACACGGGCAACGGCCAGGGTGCGGGCAGGGAACACCACTACGAGTAGGCGGGCGGTGTTGTGCTGCTAGAGCGGACGCGCCGCCGGTGCGCTTGCTCGCCCCGCGTCCCGCTCGTATGCGCGATACCGCCGCGCGCTACTGCAAGGGCGCGCGCGCTTCCCATATCGTGTCAGCCGCACGTGGGGAAGCTCCTGCCTCTGCTCCTGTCTGTCCCTCGTCCCGTCGTGGCGACCGCCGCAGGCAGCCTGGACAAGAGGCGCGGACATCGTCCGTCCGTCCCCGTCGCCCTCCCTCCTCTCCATCTCCGACCAGCAGGCCGTGCTTGGCGTGCGCCGCAAACACGCTACGCCAACCACCTCGCCCCTGTTTATCGTCTCACTCTCCCTCCGGCCTCTCGGCCTGCGTGTACCCTCTCCCACGCGCACGCCCCCGTCTTCTCCGCCTCTACTTTTACAACCTCCGTCCTGCATGCCAATGCAATGGACGTTGTATAGTCGGTTTATTGTGTACGTGTACGGTAGTAGATACCACTAGTCTTTCGATATACATAGTCCGCACGCCTCTTTGGTTTACTCATGGCCCCGGATCCTCGCACTTCCGATCTGTTCTCATTATGCTGTCTTCTGTTTCTGCACCCCATTTCCGTCATCCTCCCCCTCCCTTCTCGTGCTCCCGGCTTCCAGCCGCGTCACCTGCCCGCGCCCTGTGGCCCCGGCCGACGTGCGTGGCGGCCGGTCTCACGTCGTGCCCGCCGCTGTCCGCCCCCTTCACCGCCTACCGGCCACCGCAGCCAACGCCCGCGCTCTCCGCCTTCGCTCGCTTATACGTAGTACATGCCATATTCGCCTTGCGCGTTCCGTCTCCTGCGGCCGCCCCGTCCGCTGTATTATCTCTTCCCAGTCTCTGCCGCTGTACATAGCATATCGCCCCTCGAGTCTTCGCACACGCATACGTTTCTCCGCTGCGGCATCTCACATCCCACTATTCTCCCGTCGCAACTTCCACTGATATACGTTGTGGTTAGGTAGGCCTTGCGCCCCCGCGCTGCCGGTGTACATCACGTTCGCCTCCTTCTCTAGCCTTCTCGTGCCTCGTGCACCCTCGGACACACTCTCCTTCGATTTCGCGCGTCACGCACCAAGTACACTAGTACTGCTCGATGAGCGGCTCCCCTTACCTTCGACTTCGACTTCGACTTCTCGCCGTTGCTTACTGTACAGCTGTGTATACTGTACCTCTACCACGCGCGAGGGCTGTCGCGCACGTTGTAATCCGCCTGTTGTCCGCACCTCCCGTTATCCGTTCCGCCGCCGTCCAATCCATGCGCATCCTCTCCCTGCTGCTGCTGCCCTCTTCACGTCTGCCGGGCCTGCTCCGTCCGTCTTCTCCCGGCGAGCCCTCTTCTCCCGTCAACCGTCAAGCTTCGACGCCTTCATCGTCGAGCCGCACGCGCGCGGTCCGTGCCTTCCTCTCCCCCACGCGTGTCCCCCGCACCGAGGCCGCAGCCCACAGCCCGCGTCCTCCGCGGCTGGCTGCGCGCACAGACACGGGCACGGGCACGGGCACGACGACGAGCCAAGTCGACCGGACAGCCCCGCTCGACGAGAGTGCGCGCGGCCATTCTCGTCCGCTCTCGGCGTGGCCGTCCTGCCCTTGCCCTTGCGCGCGGCAGGCCGACCGCACGGAGACGCCGCGGGCCGCGGAACGCGAGTCGGGCGAGCGCGACGTCGCCCGCGTACTTACGGGGGAGGAGCGTGTGTGGGCACGCTCTCTGCCAACGCTGCCACCGGCATCGAGATCCGCCCCCCCCCCCTGCTCCGGACCAACTTCCAAGCTCTCGTCCCCACCCCCTGCGCCCCCGCGCCGTGCCGCGCCGCACGGGCCTTGCTTCTGGCGGCGAGATAGAGAGCGGCGATGGGCCCGCCGCGCGGTGCACCCCGCGTACGTACGTGCTCGCGCGTCCACCCCACCCTGCACAACGTTTCGCACCGCACCGCATCGTACATATCGCATTCGTATCGCATCGCGGCACGTACGGCGAACCACCACACCGTCCGCTGACCCCGTCCGACCTCTGGCCTCAGGCCTCTGGCCTCAAGCTTCAACGCCTCACCGGTCACCGGCCGCACCCCGCACCCGCACCCCCGCACCCCCCGCGGTCGCGCGTCACACCGCCTCCTTTGAACCTTCCCGTTCGACGCGCGCGTCCCCCGGGCCCGCGCCTCCCACGCCCGCCAGAGTTCGCGTTTACATACGCATCCACAGCCCGGGCACGTGTCGGGCCGCGCGCGGTGGAACGTTCTGCGGGGACTCCCCGTGCGTGCGTGCGTGCGTCGCGGAGAAGCTCGAGATCGCGTGCGTGCACGCTGTGAATGGGAGAAGGGGGAGAAGGCGAAGAAGGCGCACGGAGCCCGGCCGCACGCGCGGCGGTAGGGAGGGCCGCTTCGGGCAGGTGGGCGGCGAGGGGGCGGGTCGTCGAAGGGCGGGTGGTCGCTGGAGAGAAGAGAAGAGAAGGAGGGAGAGAAGGCGGGCGCACCGCGTGCGCGCGCGCGGGCCGAGTGATGGCCCACGGAGCGCGGTGAATGGGATCAGCGACGGGGTCGCTGCATACCATCCACGAGCTGTCGGACGGCGTGAACGGTGTGGTGGGTGACCATTGGCATGGGACGAGGGATGCGCTTTCGGCGCGGCCACATGCCCCGCGCGTGCTCTGCGCCGTCTGCGCTCGGAGTTGAGTTGCACACCGCTGGCGTATCCCAGTTATCTCGGTCAATGGATTGGAGCTGAAGCGCTGAAGCGGCGCGTGCCCACGTACTTTGGCAAGTCCTCGATGCGGGAGAAGACGATCCGACGCGGGCGGCGCAGGCACAAGGGCGGCGCACGCAGCTTCCCTCCGTCTTCCCCAGGCGTGCCCGCACGCGCACGGCCATGCAGGTGGACGCAAGCACCCGTCATGTGCCACCACGGACGCTCCTCCCAGCCAGACGTGCGCGCGACCCCCGGTCGATCAGACAGCACGCGCGGACGGAGTCCGAGGTCCTCGGGCGGCCCGTAGCCTCGCGCCCTCGCGATCCCGCGCAGGGCGGACGCCCGCCGGGACGGGCGTCCGCGCGCTGCGCGCCGCGTCGGATCCCACGGCCGACCGTCCCCCCGTCATGCGACGGGGGCTCCTGCAGCTCCTGAAACAGCCGCCGTGCGCAGATGCCGGTCGTGACCAGTTCGCTCGTCGCGATTCGAGTAAGTCGTCATCTCGAAGACCGCGTTTTCGGCGCTCGCGCCGACCCGCCACGAGCGGCCCTGCACGTACGGATTGGCGCGGCCATCCGGACTCCGTCCGCCCGTCTGTTTTTTTTCTTTCTTTCCAACCTGGCGTGGCTGAAACGCGCGCGCGCGGTGGGGGGTGTGGGTCTCGGGCGCGCCCAGGCTCGCGGTGACCCGTGATCGTCTCGCCCGCCCTGTGGTCGTGTACGGTATGACACCGTCTGGCCAGTGGCCGGCGTGTGGCATGTGCAGGACTTGCCTGGAGTTGCTGGCGGCGTTCCGTCGGTGCGGCGAGCGCGGAGGCCGGGGGGCGTGCCTCGTCAGAGGACGTGGTGTAGGTGCCTGCTTAGGCAGGATCCGCGTTAGCTTGTTCGTACTTCCGCGGTCAGGACGCTAGTCAGTAGGCCCGGAGTTCAAACCGGAAGGCTGGGCGGCCGGTCTGCCCGTGGGGGGGCCGGACGGCGGAGGCGCATGTAACTCGTCTCGTACGCCCGCGCGAGGCACGCAGGGAGTGGTTGTCAAACCAGAGTCGCGAATCCGAATTGCAGCGACGTTCTACTTGTGCGTCCTTCCGTCCCGTCCTCTCACAATCTCCGACGTACAGGGAAAGCGTGTGCCGCCCCAATGAGCCGTGGGCCCTGGCCCTGGCGAGCCGTCGCCGCTGGCAGGTCCGGAGGCGGCGCCTTCAGACGTCGCGCAAACGTCGACCTGCGCCCGCCGCTGCGCACCGTCTGAGGAGGCTGCTGATGCGGATGAAGCGTGCCCGTGCCTTGCCTGGCTCGAGCTCGACCGGCACCATCAAGAGCGCCCGCGGGCGCCGTGCCGAGCGGTCCCGCACGCAGGTGGCAGAAGAAGAAGAAGAAGGAATCGGCGCGCGCCGAGGCGTGCCCACACGACGGGCGCACGAGGGCCGATTTATGGGTGCGATGCCCCCTCCGTAAGTGCGCACGAGCTAGAACCCGCACTGCGCGGGCGGAGCGGGTCGCAAAGTCCGTCGCAAGCGTGCCCGCGGCGTAGCGTGCCCCGCGCACGAGGCCGCGAGCCCGGCGGGACGACGACGAGCGTCGAGACGAAACCCCGCCCTGGGGGTCTGGTCGTGGAGGATGACGACAGTCGGCATCGGAGGCGCTGGCCCGGGCCGCGGGCACGTGTGGACCACGTCACCGCATATTCAACGCCTTGCAAGTCGCCAGGGCCCCCTTCACTCACCCGAGCCGAGATGGGCGATAGCGTTGCGGGGGATGGAGAGCTGGCCACGGACACGAGGCCCTGGGACGACGGGAAAAAAAACGCAGGGTGACGAGTTGAAGAAACTTCGCTCCGCTGGATCCTGCGACCTCGGCCGCGAGGGAACGTACGTACGGGGACGTGAAGCGAGCAGGGGCGGCAGGGACGACGCCGCCGCGTGTCGGCGTCGGATTCGGCGCCCCCGCGAACGCGCCCCCCCCTTCCGCACACACGAGGCGGGGACGACAGCGGTGACGGACGTGTGCATGAAGGAGCGACGGACGACGGGCGACGCTCCGACAAGCTTCGCGTTCGGGAAGGCTCAAGGGGCGAGCTGTGCTGGAACGTGTCCCGGCGCGGGGAGCGGGCGTGCGTGGCGGAGGTGCGAGGCGCGAGGCGTTGCAGTCTGCAGATCGAGAGGAACGTGGGAGCGCGCATAATTGAATTGATGGGACGGGCCTCCGGAGTCCGCGCGTTGCACGCCACGAGGGGCCGATCCTCCGGGTGGTTGCGACCGATGGATCGATGACGTCGACGCTCGCGCGAGAGGAGGGTGAGG